AGGGAAATACTGAGCCAAACAGTCTGTATTCCTTCGGAAGTGGCCCCAACAGATAAGTCAATTCTGCAGTAGCACTTTGTTTTAAGAACCCTTTTCCTGGCCTTTGTACAGCTAGCATGTGGTTTTTACATAGAGATTTTTATACTTAGGATTAAAACTTTAGTAACCAATATTTATATTGTCAAATAGTTGGATGTTTGCTATTCTGGAACTGGTAAAGCTCCTCACTAACTATGTGCAACTGGTTTGAAATAAGGGGTGGCTTTTGCTATGTGTGATACGTGAAGAAAATCTGGTTTAGAATGTGCTTAAGGAACGTGGCGTCTATGTAGAAAATTAATAGTTATTGTAGTCAGGAGAGTGCTTCAGTATAACCCCCTATTTTCAGGGGTGTAAAATCCTACTTTAAACACTCCCTCTGCAGTTTAAATCCTGAACACAGAAGTATGTGCCTTTTTCTTTGAACTTCTGAGAAAAATACTGCGATCACCTTAGGTTACCTCTATGTGCTCTGCAGCTTTTCTTCCACCATTTGCCCATTAATGCTTTTTCTCAATGGTTTCTTTTAATAAATCCTGCTTCTGTTTTGAGACTTTTTACAACAGTTGGAAGAGCAGAACTGCAAAATTATGCTGAAAATCCCATTCAGGGCCTATTTTGAAGTCCATTGAAACTGAAGTCTGTCACCAAGTACAAGCTGAGTACACTTTCAGTCTTACCACCACCTTGTAACTGTGGAGAAATTCCATTTCTTGTTAACAGGAAGTCTTAAGGTGTATCATTAGGGTAGTTTGGGTGTTAGAGACAACCACAAAAAGCAGAGAAGCTCGGTTGCAGTCTGAATGTTGAATGCCTGGTTTGCTTTCTGGTTTGGAGACGTTCAAGTTGAAAATCTCTGGTTTATGGTAAATCTGTTGTGTGTGAAACAAATGAAATATGATTTTGCACTTAAGGAACTGGACTCAGAGCATGCTCATGCCTATTAAAAGACCCTGAACAGTCTATCCTTTCTGTAAATTTATTCTTGAATAGCTGCGACCACTGAGTCACAGGCCTTATAAGCTCTTAGTTTCTCAATACTGGGCTCAAGCCACACCTTGATGTTGAGGTTGGAAGTGGACTCCTACACGTTCAACCAGTTTTGTTATCTGTGCTGGTTTCTTTTGTCAGCCCTATGAAAAATATATTGCCCCCCTAGGCTTCAGTGCTTTCAGAGGGTTGTCCCAATGTTCCTGTGTTTCCTTAATGACTTTTGGCACTTGTTTCCTCTCAAAAGAGTTTAGAGTAAAATAGAAAAACCTGGAAGGTCAGGACAGGGAAAGATTTCTGCTTATTTCTCACTTCCCTTTTCCCCAGGATGTGTACAAGCAGACTGTGTGTGCAGTTGCTGGTTTTGCAGTCAGATGACATCCTTTCTTCTTCCTCCTTGAAGCAAAGACTGTGGAAAATGAAGTTTTCATTCATTCCTTCATATTCTACTGCCTTCCTGTTCTTGATAAATACAAAATAGTGAATGATGGTTCCTGTTGACCTGCTGAGAGACATGCCTCCAAAAGGGGTATAATTGAAAGCCTTGAATTCTAGTGAAAATTGTAGCACTGCTCCATCCTTAGCTGAGGCAAAAGGTGCTCCCTGAGCACTGCTTCACTCTCTGCCCACGTGGACCAGCTCTTGTGCTAGCTGGAGCTTAACATCTCCACTGTGTTTGCAGACGTTGGAAGGTAGATGGTGAACAGAGCAAAGGCTTGCCAAGGGGAGCAGCATAAACAGTCATAGTCATAGAACTACCGAAAGCTGATTCTGCTTTCAGCCTCTGACTGCTGCCAAAAGGGCTAATGAGGATTTGTTACGTGTGTTGTGAGCTGATGTTTGAAGCAGCTTCATTTCTAGATGAAAAACAAGCTGTAAAGCTCCACGTGCAAAGTCCACAGCTGCCTCACACCTCTCCCCTGGCAGCAGCCGGAGTTAGTCAGAGGGATCTTTTGGTCAGGTGAGGTCATTCCTTGTAGCTGCCAAATGATCCGAGACTCCAAGGAGACTCCAAAGCCTGGGCAACAGCTGCTTCCTGAGCCACGCTGTGCAGCATGTGGTGTGTTGATCCCTGTCTGATGGAGAAGGAGCTGCAGTCCAGGACTCCCTCCCTGCCTATGGCCTGCAGGGAAGAACAGCATGGCTGTGTTAGAGGCTCGGGGCTAACGCAGGGACACAAGCTCCAGCTGGGGAAATGCTTTGATCTGGGTATTTCCTCACGTGGGAGTGGCTGAGCTGACTATATTATTTTAAAGCTCCATTAAAGAGACACGGAAGCCTCATGGTATATTCCTCAATTTCAAGATGACAAGCTGAGCAGGTAGGGAAGTGTTAGCATATTGTGCTGTTCTGAGACATGTTTTCCTTGAAGCTGAACCATCTACTGTAGTTTGACACACCTTAAACTGGTTCCACCATTGGTGCCCTGTCACTTAGCACAGTCATGGTGCTAAAGGCAGGAGACAGCCCTGCCTTGGGGCAGGTATGCTGTTAACCTATTCCATGTTACAAAGAGAAGGTTTTCCTGTAGGTGCTGGCTCTCAAGTCTTTCCAACGTGATGCTCTGCTGCTTGTCCCAGTCTTGTTCTCCTCACTTACTGTATTACCAGTAAGTCTGGGCAGTTCTAGTCTCCCAGTGGCTTTATTTCCAGACTGAGGATGTCAGGGCCTTTTTAGCAATGTATTTTCCCTGCCCTGATTTAAGGAAGCAGCTGAATCACCCAGGCTGATCATTTAAGTAGCAGGTGCCTGCCCTCCTCTTCTGGAAAATTCTGGTTAGGGCAATAGGAATACTTCTGGGAGTGGGGGAAAGCAAAGAGGGATTTAATAACCCACAGGGAGCTGTGTTTAATGTGGCAGCTTTCAACTGGGGTGTTCAGTAAGAGTTTGCTAATGGGCAGCTGTAAAGCAGCTGAATCACCCAGGCTGATCATTTAAGTAGCAGGTGCCTGCCCTCCTCTTCTGGAAAATTCTGGTTAGGGCAATAGGAATACTTCTGGGAGTGGGGGAAAGCAAAGAGGGATTTAATAACCCACAGGGAGCTGTGTTTAATGTGGCAGCTTTCAACTGGGGTGTTCAGTAAGAGTTTGCTAATGGGCAGCTGTAACAACAGCCACTGTTACCAGCCCTGCTCCATCAGCCTCACTCACAGAGCTGTAATGACATCAATTTGCTTAAAACATCCAAGTGTGGTGCCAGAGAATTTATAGCTTGTCTGGTTACCAGGACGACTCAAAGTTCATGGATGTGTTATCTCCAATTTGGTGGCTTTGCTCTACTGTTGGGTTTGGGGATGTTTTGTTGTTTTCCTTGCTCCCACTGTGGCTCACGTAACTGGCATTTATTTCAGCTGTTCTTAAATTATGATTAACAAGGAGTGGGAGAGGTGCAGGTCTTCATTGTACTGCCATTTAATGTCTGCTGAGAGTGGAATCAGACCCCAGCTGAGGTTCCTCTGGTATGTTATTGGAATGGGCCTAAGAGAGAAAAGGGGGGTTAAGGAATTTAACTGTAGGATGCTAATGGTGCCACTGTTACTAAAGATTTGGAAGAAGACTAACACCTCATTGAGAGCAGCAGGTTAAAACTGTAAGCCTGTTCCAGCTGACCCTGAGCTACCCAAGTTAAAAGAGCAGGGCAAGCCTCCTCCTCTCCCCTCATGTCCTCCCAGCTCAGGAGAGCAGAGGCTGGTGTGATCTTCCCTCCTTGTGTCTCCATTTGCTGCTGTTGGAGATGTGTGTATCCATATAGTCTTCCTGGAACAGCTTCACTGCATGCTCCCCTCAGGTTACAGGTCCTTAGGATGTGCTGCTACTTCTTTGTCCTCTTCCCTCATCTTGGCACTATGTTGTTAGAGGAAGGCTCAGAAAAGGCAGAACTCCAACAAGA